ACACACACACACACACACACACACACACACACACACACACACACACACACACACATATATATATATATATATATGTATATATATATATATATATATAAATAGATGTGTGTGTACACGTGACGTGTGAGTGTGGGCGTGTTGTGTGTATGTGTGTGTATTACGTGTACATACATGGATATAAAATACATAAATATTTACGGGTGTTCACTCGGATATGAAGCCCAACGGGTCATTTCTCCGATACTTATGACGCCAATAACCGTGAAACAACGTGCTGCTACTATGACGGTGTAGAACAGTGCTTTCACTGGCGATGGTCGATGATTGGAATATATAAATGTAAATTTAAACACATAATAGCAAAACAAGCCTCGCGAGAATATATAAGAGCATTGTAATCTTATACACTTGTGACTATGAAGAAAAAAAAGACCAATACTCATACCTGGAGTCGTTCCGCAGTACTGTAGTGCCTAACAACTGCTTTGATGGTTCGAACCGACGTACACCCTGAAATAACCGCTCTAGGATTGAAAAATCGCATCTTGTTAGTCATGAATGAATAGGCTGCCATCTCAGACTAATTAACACTAAAGACACACATATAAGTTTACAACAAATAGTGGGCTTATGTATTTATCTGCATAAAAGATGTATATTTACAATATTTTACATACATACTCTCTCTACTAGTCGTTATCGTCATTTCATCATCATGTGGTTTGCAACTTTATGATGTGATCTATTTTCTTCTTCTCTCGTTTTTCGTAAAGAAAACCAGCGAGCGACAAAAAAAATCTCACAGCTCTCTCTAGTCCTTGGGCTGGTCCCAAATACATCCAGAGTTCCAGACCTAAATATTCCCGATTCTGAACCAAAGCAACCGCAAAAAAAAACACTGAATGTAAATAAATACTGTAAATACACCGAATGCATTGTGCAATTTTCAGAAGACTATGCCAAATGAATGTATGTGCATCCTTTTTTTTTTTCAACGACTGTATACATATTATAAATAGACACTTTGCTGTGTTATGAGCGCATGGTCAGTGCAGATACCGGAGTGAAGTGTATAATGCACTAATTGGCTGTACAAAGCGTCTGCAAAGCTTACCTTTGTACGTCTGGGAATGTACTTCAATGGCGCTTGCTTATATTTAGTAAGCTATAACAACCACAACAGCCAACAGTAAACAAGTTGGGGTGGATATACGTATCTAGTACTCTGTACTCATACTGCTGTGTATCTTTCTCTAAGAACATCATTCGATATCTGTCATCTACGATAATATAATATATATATATAAATATCTCAAGAAGCACGCCAAAATGGATTACAATGCCTTGATGAAGAAGGCACAGAAGCAGACCAACCGGAGCACACAGGCGGCACGGGAGATCAAAAGTAACTTGGAACGAGAGAAGCAGAAGAAAGCTGCGGTTGCCAAGGAGATTGCTGCTGCCGACGAGTTGAGAAGGAAAATTGAGCTGAAGAAACTGGCGAATGTCAAAGAACGTCAGAGACAAAAGTTAGAGGCCGAGGAGAAGGCTAAGCAAAAGGAGAGGGAGAAGCAAGCAAAGAGCAAGTCTAAGGTTGGTAGACCCCCTGCTAGTCGCAGTAGTAATGGTAGATCTAATACCAACGCATCGTCGTCTTCAGCATCATCTGCGCGTGGATCGAGCACTTCTAACGGCAGAACGTCCAGTGGAGGTGGCATTGGTAGTGGTAGTATGGGATCGAAGGCGAATACATCTAGACACTCAGCATCTTCTTCATCGGGGCGTGAAAGTAGTGTGGGCACCGGCGGTAGTAGGATCAGTGGCAATAAGATAAGTAGGGATAGTCAGGCAGCTCCAAAGGCGGCTTCCAAACCTCTCAGCTACGCAGAGCTTATGGCTCAGGCGCAAGGGAAAGGAAACTCGAAGACATCGAGTTCAAGCACAATCCCTCGCAAGAACAGTGTGAGTGGTGGCAGTGAAAAGTCGGAAAGAGTTTTGGACAGAGGTACTGACCGAGATAAAGAGAAGAATAGGGATAGAGATAGGGGCAAAGACAGCCACAGAGGGCTGGACAAAGAGAAAGTTCGGGACAAGGAGCGTAGGAGCGAAGGCGGTAGTGCTAATATCAGAAAGAGTGGCTCGTCGTCTGATCTCAAACGACCTGTGAGCTCGTCGTCTGCACATCGCAGCGACACGCGACCAGTTTCGAATGGTAAGAATGATAGTAGGCCGTCTAGCAGTCATTCGACCGATAGACACCGCGGCAGCGGCAGTGGCAGAAGTGGCGGTGGGGGAACGCGAGAAGTTGTTAAAAGCAGGAGTGAGGAGAAGAAACTCGAGCTCAATTCCATCCAAAAACAGATTGCCGAGGCTAAACGCCAGTTGGCTGAATTGCGCAGTAGAGAAGGCAGTCATAAAAGTTCCTCGAGTGCATCGGCAGAAGCATCATTCCGTAACGGGTCTTCCTCGTCCCGCAATAGCACCTCGATGTCTCGCCCCTCCGTAAGTGGGTCTGCGCAGCGCAACTCGGTTAAAAGCAGCACGTCTGTGAAGAAAGTAGAACGAGCCCCGAAGATGACCAAGCAGGAGCTTGAGGCTAAGAAAGCCGCTGACCGTCAGAAGGCCAGAGAGGAACAGAAGCGTCGTTTGCAGGAAAAGATGAATGCCCAGTATGAATCTGAGCGAAAATATCGCGAGAAGAACAGTGCGCGCGTGCCAGAACAGCGGCAAGTGCGTAAGCGAAGACGCGACTCGTGGATTGACGATAGCGACGACGATGAAGTGGCGGACGCTATGGCCGAGTTGCGCAACATGACCAACTATTCGGCGGATAGGTTCTATGAGCAAGATCGGGGGGATGACCGGGATATGGAGTCTGGGTGGCATGATATCCTCAAGGAGGAGTCGAAAAGCGCGCGTCTGGGTCGTATAGAGGATGCGGAAGAGGCACGCTTGCTGGCTCTGGAGGAGGAAGCGGAAGAGAAACGGAGGAAGAAGAAGAAATCTAGACATTAGTGGAGGGAGGTGATACGCTAGTATTGACCTTATGTCTGTATAGTATATGCGTCATGAAATATACTGATACACACAAATGTAGAAGACTACAATATACACATTCAAATTTAAAGGAAACCATATATAAATACACATGTATTAGTAGAA